GGAATGGAATGGAATGGAATGGAATGGAATGGAATGGAATGGAATGGGAGTAGAGTGGAGTGGAGTGGAGTGGAGTGGAGTGGAATGGAATGGAATAGGAGTAGAGTAGAGTAGAGTGGAGTGGAGTGGAGTGGAGTGGAGTGGAGTGGAGTGGAATAGAATGGAATGGAATGGAATAGGAGTAGAGTAGAGTAAAGTAGAGTGGAGTGGAGTGGAGTGGAGTGGAGTGGAATGGAATGGAATGGAATGGAATGGAATAGAATAGAATAGAATAGAATAGAATAGAATAGAATAGAATAGAATTTTTGATTGGCCAAGTGTGATTGGACACACAAGGAATTTGTCTTTGTGCAAATGCTCTCAGTGTACATAAAAGAAAAGATACATTCATCAAGAGTCAAGAATCATCAGGTCCAACACTTAGTGCTAGTCATAGGATACAATGAGCAATCAAATCCTACTAGAAAACAGTCAATATATAACAGTTAATTCAAAGTGACAATAAAGTTATTCTAAGCCTAAATCTAAGTACCTCCTGTGATCTTTGGAGGGTGATCTGCTTAAAAAGTCTCCTTTCTGAACTAAGAAACCAATTTGCACCAAGACAAATTCCTTGTGTGTCCAATCATACTTGGCCAATAAAGAATTCTATTCTATTCTATTCTATTCTATTCTATTCTATTCTATTCTATTCTACTCTACTCTACTCTACTCTACTCTACTCTACTCTATTCTATTCTATTCTATTCTATTCTATTCTACTCTACTCTACTCTACTCTATTCTATTCCTTATTCATTCTATTCTATTCTATTCTATTCTAAGTGGGTTCTCCTGGAAGCAACTTCTCCTGGGGGTGTGGGGGAGAGGAATGTGGAATTCTGGGAGTCCACCAGTCTTAGGATGGCCAAGGTTGAGAAACACTAACCTAGCTCAGATCTGTTGCATAGCCCTTGGGTGCACTCTAGAATGAAATCCTGGTTTAATGGTGGTCAGCTGATCTTGCCAACCAATGAAGATAAAAATAAAAACCCTTTCTATTCAACTGTCGGTCTGCACAGTTTATCATAATGAATGAATGAATGAATGAATGAATGAATGAATGAATGAATAAGAGTAAACAATACAAGAGCACACAACAGATATAAACTCAATGTAAGCCGCTCCAAACTTGATTGCAGAAAGTACGACTTCAACAACAGAGTGGTCAATGCCTGGAATGCACTACCTGACTCTGTTATTAAATCCTCTAACCCCCCCACTCCTTTAATCTTGAACTATCCACTATTGATCTCACCCCTTTCCTAAGAGGTCTGTAAGGGGCGTGCATAAGCGCACCATCGTGCCTACCATCCCTGTCCTATTGTCCCCATTTATTCGTATCTATTTCCTGTATTCTTACTCATGTTTATACTTATACCTATTATCTTTATTTGACTGACGAATCAAATAAATAAATAAAAAAATAAATATAGCCTGAGCTTCAAGCTGGTTTAATGGTTTTTGCTGTTAAGGTTTAATCTCTGACTTCCTCAATCGGAATTTCAGAGTTACATAGATAGCACCCCAGTGTGATTACTGGGAATTAGCAAGGGAGGTTGTGTCGTCCTTTCATAATTCAGCAGCTGTCACAGGGAAGCTTTAAAACTGTTTTGCAATTCACGGCAAAACAAAACATACAAATCATCGGCTTTTGTTTTCCCAGGGCTGTGATTTGCTTTATTTTGTATTCCATTTTTTTACAGTATTTATTTATCTGTTCTGCTTGATCCCAGTCAAATGAGCTATGTAAATCAGTGTAAACATCACCAGTAAAATGTTGAAATTTCCTTGAAAAGCAGGAAAACATCATAACAAATGATAAACAAAAACAATAGTTGCCTTTGAAGGTTATAACCTCTATTGTAAAATATCCAGGGAAACCTTGAAAGATTTAGCATCTTCTTAGAAGACACAAAAGAAAGAGCAAACCGAGAAAATTCCATAAAATGGTTGTCGTTGGTTGAGAAGACCCTTCCCCCAAGCTGTCTCAAAACCAGGTGGGAAAGGCCTTCAAAACATTTGAGGGGATGATTTGAATATATATAGCAGAAGATCTGCCATTTACAGTCCTCGACGTATGACCGTCGCTTAGCAATCATTCAAAGTTACGATGGCAACCAGCAATTTATTTACTACCCTTGCAACATCCTGGACTCCCCACCTAAAACTACTTACGACCTAGTTTTGAAGTTCCAATGATGCGTCCACATTTGGGGCTCTCGACAATCAGTCTGCCTTTATACTTTCATGCCTAAGGCAGGACTAGAACTCACCATTTCCTGGGGATTGGCCCAAAGTCACTCATCTGGCTTTCATGCCTAAGGTGGGACTAGAATTCACTGTCTCCTGGTGATTGCCCCAAAGTCACCCAGTCAGCTTCCATGCCTAAGGTAGAACTAGAACTCTCCATCTCCTAGTTATTGACCCAAAGTCACCCAGCCAGCTTTCATGCCTAAGGCAGGACTAGAACTCACCGTCTCCTGGTGATGGGCCCAAAGTCACCCAGCCAGCTTTCATTCCTAAACTGGGACTAGAATTCATCATCTCCTGCTTTTTAGTCTGGTGCCTTAACCACTAGGCCAAACTATTTCTCAATAAATAAAACCTTGGCGATCCCCAAATATGTGTGCATGTGTGTACACACACGCACACACACAAATACTGATTATTTCCCCCTACAATAACTTCAAAAAGTATATACATTTTTTTTCAATGCAATTCATTTTTCCTAAAGTTTTTGAAATGATTTTAGTGCCAAAGTCTAGTTATATTAAACTCTTCAAGAAGGAACTGAAGCCCTGCCAATCTGTATTCAATGCCCTCTATTTTTCTATTTTTCTGCACCTAATGGCTTTACAATAATTTGTAAATCATTTTTATACAGAAGCAAAGTCCCAACTCTATTAAACCAGAACTGCAGTGAAACCCCTTTCATGCATTTTTATTGTTAAGTAATCTCGTCTCGCCACTGTTCATAAGACAAGAATTAATGTTTCGCATCTTAAATTTTTATTCTCTGTACTACAGATCAGTGATCTCCAAAGTTGGCCACTTTAAGACTTCTGAACTTCAACTCCCAGAATTCCTCAGCTAGCCAGGGTGGTTGGGGAATTCTGGGAATTGAAGTCCACAAGCCTTAAAGTCGCCATGTTTAGAGACTCTCTGGTATAGATACTAATACTATACCTGCAGTTTTGAGTTTAAAACCTTGTCTGTCTGTCTGTCTGTCTGTCTGTCTATGGGATTTCTATGATACCCATCTCACTAATACAGGTAATTCTCAACTTAAAACAGTTTGTTTAGTGCTAAGAAAAGTGACTTATGAACATTTGTGACATTTACAACCATTGCATGGTGACATGATCAAAATTCAGCTGCTTGGCAATTGACTCACATTTATGACGGTTGCAGTGTCCTGAGATCATGTGATCACCTTTTGCAACCTTCTCACAAGCAAAGTCAATGGGGATTCACTTAACAACCATATCACTAACTTATCAATTGCAGCAATTCCCTTAACTACTTTGGCAAGAAAGGTCATAAAATGGGGCAAACTCCCTTAACAACTGTCTCGCTTAGCAACAGAAAAGTTGTGCTCAGTTATGGTCATAAGTCAAGGATTACCTGTACGGAGACTCTGGGCAGCTTATAATATAATGAAAGTTAAAAACTGTGAAAAACCATTAAAATAGAATAAAAATTAAAATTAAAAACCAAAATAACGGACAGCCTAAAGGTGAGAATCTTCTCTGTCCCATCAGCCAACCCCAAAGTAGCAGGCCCTTCTTGTTTTTAGCAAGAACACAGTAGAAACAGATATTTATTTCTCTCTTTTAAAAGGTACATTAACAGTCTGCATGTCTGTTTTTACTGACCACATTTCCGAATCTCCCTCAGAGAGAGAGTCTCTTTATATTTTATGTTATTTAAAACAAAAATGTGTTTTCAAGAAAGAGATTGTCCATAAACAAACAGATAATTAATTGTGATGGCACAATTATTGCTCAGTAGAACGTTAACACAAGATACCAGGTAAGAGCATTTTAAGTTATTCTTATGTTATTTTAAAAGTACCCTGTTTCCCCGAAAATAAGACCTACCCTGAAAGTAAGTCTTAGCTTTATTTTTGCATGTGCACCCAATATAAGCCCTAACCCCCTAATTAAGATCCCACCCACTCCAGAGTACACGGGTAAAAATTAAGCTAGGGTGGGGATGGAAGTAGTGGAGCTGCCCTACTTTGGACAGTTGTAGCCAGGCCTCGCACACCCCTGCCGACCCATTTTAAAATCTTCTGAAGCCGGCAAGGTTGGCAAGGTTTTCCTGAAAGCCTCTATAGCTGATAACAAAGCTCTGGATCGATCCAGACCTCTGTTATCGGCTGCAGAGGCCTTCAGGAAAGCCTTCCTGGCCTCAGAAGAAGTAGCTCCTGAAGGCCTCTGACCGCGAAAAGGAAGCCGGGGGCGACGCATGCAAGTGAGGTTAGTCGGTGGATGACGTCCCCTGAAAATAAGACCTGGTGCCTTTTTGGGTGGCAAAAAAAATATAAGGCAGGAGAAACCCAGTAATAGAAATTTCCGAGCACAATGAAGAAGTTTTCACTATATTATTGTTTGCAAATGTTTAATACAAATCTATTTTTGGTTGAGATAGATAGATAGATAGATAGATAGATAGATAGATAGATAGATAGATAGATAGATAGATAGATAGAT